ATGTATTTTATGTATGTACATTCACTGCTTTGCAAATATTGTACCATCCTTGCATCCCTGGGATGAATTCCACTTGGTCATGGTGTATGATCTTTTTAATGTATTGTTGGATGCGATTTGCCAATATTTTCTTGAGGATTTTAGCGTCTATGTTCATCAGCGATATTGGCCTGAAGTTTTCTTTCTTGGTTGTGTTTTTATCTGGTTTTGGAATTAGGATGATGCTGGCTTCATAAAAAGAGTTGGCAGTCTTCCACTTTGCCTATTTTTTAATTGGGTTTTTTGTCTTCCCAGAGTGGAGTCATATGAGTTCTTTATATAATTTGGAGATAAAACCCTCGTCCAAGGTATCATTGGCAAATATGTTTTCACATATAGTTGGTTCTCTTTTCATTTTAATGCGGTTTTCTTTAGCTGTGCAGAAGCTTTGTAATTTGATGAGATCACATTTGTTTATTCTTTCCTTTATGTCCCTTGCTCTAGGGGACATATCAGTAAAAATGCTGCTGCATGAAATAGCTGAGATTTTCCTGCCAATGTTCTCCTCTAGGACTTTTATGGTGTCACATCTTATATTTGTCTTTTTTTAAATTTATTTTTTATTGATTATGCTGTTACAGTTGTTCTATTCCCCTCCTTCATTCCCCTCCACACTACCCCCCATCCCCACCATTACCCCCCTTTAGTCTATGACCATGTGTCTCAAGTTCTTTAGATTCTATATTTCCCATACTCTTCTTGCCCCCCATCTATTTTTCTATCTACTGTCTATGCTACTTATTTTCTGTACCTTCTCCCCTCTTCTCCTTCTCCCATTCCCCTGTTGCTAACCCTCCTTGAGATCTTCATTTCTATGTTTCCACTCCTGATCTAGCTGTCCTTTTAGTTTGCTTTTGTTTTAGGTGTGGTTGTTAATAACTGTGAGTTTGCTGTCCTTTCACTGTTCATGTTTTTTTAACTTCTTTTTCTTAGATAAGTCCCTTTAACATTTCATAGAAGAAGGGCTTGGTGATGATCAACTCCTTGAATTTGATCTTATCTGAGAAGCACTTTATCTGTCCTTCCATTCTAAATGAAAGTTTTGCTGGATAGAGCAATCTTGGTTGTAGGTCTTTGGATTTCATGACTTGGAATACCTCTTTCCAGCCCCTTCTTGCCTGTAAGGTCTCTTTTGAGAAATCGGCTGACAGTCTAATGGGGACTCCTTTGTAGGTGACTGTCCCCTTAGCTCTTGCTGCTTCTAGGATTCTCTCCTTCATTTTAATTTTGGCTAATGTAATGATGATGTGCCTTGGTGTTTTCCTTCTTGGGTCCAACTTCTTTGGGACTCTCTGAGCTTCCTGGATTTCCTGGAAGTCTATTTCCTTTGCCAGATTGGGGAAATTCTCCTTTATTATTTGTTCAAATAAGTTTTCCACTGGTGGCTGTTCCTTTCCCCCTTCTGGTACCCCTATAATTTAGATGTTGGAGCATTTAAAGATGTCCTGGAGGTTCCTAAGACTCCCCTCATTTTTTTGAATTCTTGCTTCTTCACTCTTTTCTGTTTGGCCATTATTATTTTTTTTGTATTTTATTTAGTTACTTTTCAAGTACATTTTTTTTCTCCCCCCCCCAGTCTCCCCCCTCCCTTCCATTCCCCCCACCCAGTCCTCATCTCTGTGTTTTTCATACTTGTTCCTCAAAATCCCTCCCCCTTTTTCCCCTTAAGTTCCCTTCCCTCTCCCCTCTGGTCGCTGCCCACTTGTTCTCTATTTCAGCATCTTTGTTTTTATTCTGTTTGCTTGTTTGTTTTATTCTTTAGCTTCCTGTCAAAGGTGAGATCATATGGTCTGTTTGGCCATTATTTGCTTTCTTCTGGTTCACTCCATTGATTTGAGTCCCAGTTTCCTTTTCATTGCTATTGGTTTCCTGTGCAATTCCATTCATTTCAATTAGTTTCACCTTCATATGTTTGTCTAATTTGTGGCTATAATCAACCAGTTCTATGAAGATCCTGATCAGCAGTGTTTTAAACTGTGCGTCTGAGAGTTTTGCTATTTCTCCATGGCTTAGATTTATAGGCTCTGGGGCTTTGAGATCTTCTTGAGCCATTTTTGGTCTGTTTGCACCCGTTAAGTCTGAGGATCAGAGCCTTGGACTCCCAGGTCGCTAGGTTGTGACTCTGTATGTGGAGGCGGGGTCAGAGCGGGGAAATAGAGGTCCCCTCTGCTGTTTCTCGCAGCTGGGTGAAGAGCACAGCCTTAGGTTGTTCACCGGGGCAGGGCCACTTAGGTTGCTGGATTATGATGCTGTATGTGGAGGTGGGGTTAGAGCGGGGAAATGGCGGCGCCCTCCACAGCTTCTTGCCGCTGGGGCTGCTGACTCTCGTCCAATCGCCCACTCCCTTGCTTGTCTATCTACACACAAATGCGCGACCACAGTCAACCTGCAGCCCTGCTCCCTTGCTGTTTCCCTGAGATTGCTTGCTGAGTTAAGCAATCCTGGTCCAACCCTGCGCCTGGATTCCGTGCACCTGAGTCCGTCTGACCGAGTTTTCCTGTGCTACCCCGCTCTGCCAGCTGCTGGTTTCTCCCCTCTTACCAGTCAGGCTGAACAATTTGTTGTTAACAGACTTCCGAAAAGTTCAATTTTCTGTGTTCTGGCTGTGTTTTCTGTTGCTAATATTTAGTTGTCTCTAAACTTGGTTGTGTGAGAAAGCATGGTGTCTCCACCTATGCTTCCATCTTGGCATAAGTCGAGATTAGACTCTTGTTAGAAGGGGGAAGGATTGTGAGCTGAGTCCAGAAAACAGAGTGCTTGGGGGAGGTCAGATTGTAAGATATAGTGAGAGTAAAGGATAGAAAATATGCATAGTGTGTGACAGAATGGTTAACCACAACAATAATAAATCCCCAGATGATAGTGAAATGAACTCAGATCTGGGAGGGGTGCTGTGTAGTATCTATAGTTAAATGGAACAATAACTATTTACAATAGTAATGGTACAACAATAATATGACAAGAACTTTACGATCTGAATAAGAAGAATAGGAAGTACATGACCTCAAATAGTGTGCCTTTGGAACAGAAGTGAAGTGAAGGAAGGAAAATTAAAATACACTATGAAAGAGAAAACAAGGAAAATCAAACAATGCAATTAAACAAACAAAACAGAAAGAAGAGAAATAAAAAATACTAATAAAATAAGGGAAGTAAGAATAATGAAAAATACAAATAAATAATAACATGCAAGTTTTCTGGAATAGCAAAGTGAAATTTGCCTTTTTCTCAGTTGTTGGGGTTAGCTTTGTGTTCCCACTTCAGGTGTGTCTGTGAACCTTTCAGAGTTCCAGGTCTTATTGTCTCACTTGCTGGGGTGGGGGGGACGGGGGGAAGCCTTTTGGTGACTTAAACCCACCAAGCAAGTTCTGCTGGTCCTCCTGGATGCTGCAGGCTGAGGGGGTTTGGGCTTTGATTTTCTCCTTTTGTGTGGTTTGGGAGGATGTGGGCCAGATTTGGGCTGCAATCTTCACAGCTGCCCAGCCTCCAGCCCAGGTCCTCCATTCATTCCTGGTCCCCCACTGCCCATCTGCACCAGGTCAATGCCTTCAATCCACCAGTTGTTCTGTCCCTGAGGTGCACTAATTAGGGCCAACTCTCATACTACCTTCTCCCTATTTGCTGTCCTAGGTGCTAGGCACTCTCAAAGTCTCTTCAGGTAGTATGTCTCTTCAGGTTCAGCTCCCTCACTGAGTTAAGTGTTTGTGGGGACTGCTAACTCCCTGAGCCCTGCTGCTCTCCTCTGCAAGGGGTGCCTACTCCTTCCTCTTAGTAAGCCAGCCACTCAGGTGCGGGAATGTGCTCATGGTGGCTGCCACAGGAGAGTTGTCTAAAGAGCAGCCCAGAGCCTTTTTTTGAATAAAGTCCTCTTGTTCAAGCCTGCTGCTCTTAATAAACACCCAGCCTATCACACAGCCCTACTTTCCAACCAGACCGGAGACTATCTGGGTCAAAGTATGTCACGTCCCAACTCCTCTCCTTTCTTGAGGTGTCACCCAGCTCCCCAGTTTCTCTGGTAATGACCCAGCCAGCATCCATAGTCCCAGCAGGTGAACACCACCCCACTGAGTCTCCCACTTCGTCTTTATTCTCCCCAGCGACTTCAAGCATTCAGGACCATCCTGGTACTGTTCTGTCCTCCCTGTTTGGCAGGGGAGGGACAGAAACTGAGGGACAGCTGTTGATTTGGCTCTTGCCCAAGGATCCTGTGGCAGGCACTGGGATGGGGGCTGCAGCAGCCCTGGTTCCTGTGTTGGGTTTCAGGGACCTTACCATCCCAATGCAACCTCCTGACCATCTGTTCATCAATGTCCTCTACAGTTTTGGCCTCCAACATTCATATTTGCTGGGATTCCGTTGGCTGTTCACTCTGCTCCTCAGAAGATTGGCTAGGTGTTCCACCTGTGCACAAGGGGAAGTGGGCTCTGCTCCTACCTACCTTGCCACCATATTAAAAAATCTCTATTGTATACTATTAATAATTGTGTGCCCATGTCCTGCCTGAAATACCATGATTGTTTATGAAAAGTATCTTTAATAAAGCTGGATACAACTTGTCTTGGGAAAAAATAAAATAAAGAAATTGGGGACATTAAAGAAAAAGACTATATTGAGGAGGTAGAGATGGCAGAGGGACTGGGAAGAAACAAAGTCATCTAGGTCAGTCCTAATCCTAGAGGTCCACTGTATGGGTTAGCAGTCTTTGACAGTGCCTGTGACTCATTACAGTGCTTGAGGACTACAAGAAAGTACAGTTCTGTTATTTTAAGCCACCCAGTTTATGGTACTTTGTTACATTAGCTCTAAGAAACTTAACACAGAGGCAAATCATGGAAAAATGATACACACCCTCTTAAGTATTGTCTTTTCATTGAAAGATGTCATTCTTTTATTATTTTTGATGCCTGCCACCTTTCCTTTTGTATGGTTGTGGTGGTTTCTTTTTAAAAACTTTATTTTGAGTGCTTGCTTTCGAAGCACAAAAACTAAAATTGGGGTGATACAGAGAAGAGCATAGCCCCTGTGCAAAGATGACATGCAAATTCGTGAAGCTTTCCACATTTTGGGCAGTGCCCTGGTGGGCATCCTTATACCCTTTGATTGGATTGGAAGAAGTATGAGTCAAAGTATAATGTGTGGCACTCAATAGCAAAGAACCATGAGTGCTCACTATTAAAAAAATTCATATTAGTCAATCTATGAAATGAAAAAAAACTTTTATTTTGAATTATAGATTCACAGGAGGTCATAGAGAAAGGTATAAGAAAGTCTCATGTATCCTTCCTCTACCCTCCCTCAACAACCTTACATACCTATAGTAGAATCTCATACTGAAAAATTGACATTGGTATGATCCAAGAACTTATTCAGATTTACTCATTTGTGTGTGTGTGTGTGTGTGCACATGCATCACATATAGCTTTGTATCACCATTGCAGTAGTCAAAATACTAGACAGTAACATCACCACAAGACTCCCCTAGGTGTTATAGTTACACCTAACCCTTTCTCCCTTATTCCTAACCTTTCACAATCACTAATTTGTTCACATCTGTATATTTATGTTATTTTATGAATGTTACATAAATAGAATCCTGCAGTTTCTGTCCTTTTGTGATTGGCTTTTTACTTCTATCTCATATATTTACACATAAAGAAGATATATTTACATAAACAGCAATATATATATTTACATTTGTTTCTTACATTTAGGTAAAAGTTTGTATGTGAAAATAAGTTTGGGATAGAGCTCAAGCATGTAATTGATAGGTTGTATATAATAAGCCCATTTTCAGTTTGAAAGAAACTGCCAAACAATTTTCCACAATGGTCATATTATTTTACACTTCTACCAGATATGTATAAGTGATCCAGTTTCACTGAATCCTAGCCAGCATTTGGTGCTATATCACATTTTCATTTTATTCATTCTGATAGGTGGGTAGTTAATATCTCATTATGCTCTTAATTTGAATTTCTTTAATGGAAAGTTATATTGAATAATTCTTTATGTCTCTACTTGCCATCTATTCATCCCCTTCAATTAAATGTCTATTTATATCTTTTGTCCACTTTCTATTTTCATTTATTTTTAATGTGGAGTTTCCAGAGTGTTTTAAAAAGATTTTATTTATTTATTTTTAGAGAGAGGGGAAGAGAGGGAGATAGAGAGGAAGGAGAGAAACACTGATGTGAGAGAGAAACTTCAATAAATTGCCTCTAGCACATGTCATGACCAGGGACCAAACCTGCAACCCAGGCATGTATGTGCCCTGATGGGGAATTGAACTGGTGACCTTTCGGTTTGTGAAACTACACACAACCAACTGAGCCATGCCAGTCAGGGCTGAGTTTCCATTTTTATGTGTTTTAGATATGTGACTTAAATAAATATTTTTCCAAGTTTGTAATTTGTCTTTTCATCCATTTAACAAGGCCATTTGCAAAGCCAAAATTTTTAATTATGGTGAACTCTAATTTATCCATTTTTATCTTGTGAATTGCAAGGGTCCTTTTTGTTTGTTTCTGGTGTTGAGTCTAAGAATCCTCAACCTATTTCTAGGTCCCAAAGATTTTCTTCTATGTTTCTTTTCTAAAATTTTTATAGTTTTACATTTTTAAATTTAAGTATGATTTATTTTAAGTTCATTTTTGTAGAAGATGTGAGTCTTTAGATCAGGTTCCTTTTTAAATTAGTTGGATACATTTGTCAGGCTCTATTTCTGAGTTTTCTGTTGTGTCCTTTGATCTTTATGACTGTCCCTGCCAGTACCATACTTACCACAATTATATAATAACCTTAATAGTGGAGTAATACTTTCCACTTCATTATTTTTCAATTTTTGACTACCCATGGGGTCTTTTCTTAAATATAAAGTCTAGAATAAGCTTGTCTGTGTCTACAAAAAGCTTGCTGAGATTTTAATAGGAATTATGCTAAACCTATAGATGAAGTTAGAGAATTTATATCTTTAACTCTGAGTCTTCCAATCCATGAGCACAGCAAGTTCCACCAGGTATTTTTCTTTCATTTGTGTTATTAGCATTTTATAATTTTTACCATAAAGAATCTATATTTTGTCAGTTTTTTAACTAAGTATTCCTTTGTATTTCTTTGGAGCCCTTGTAAATGATATAGTATTTTTATTTTGGTTTCCACTTGCTTGTTGTCAGTATATAGAAATTCAGTTGAATTTGTATGTTGATCTTGTATTCTGTGACTTTATTCAACTCACTTAAAGACTGAATATATAACCTGAAACCATATAATTCCAAGAAGAAAACAGGCAGTAAGCCCTTTCTTTGACATCTTTCCTAATTTTTGATATTTGTTTTATATTCTTTTTATATTCTTGTTTTACATTTATAATATAAATCTTGTTTTTAAAATATATTTTATTGATTATGCCATTACAGTTGTACCATTTCCCCCATTCATTCCCCTCTACCCTGCACACTCCCTCCCGCCCATATTCCACTCCTTTAGTTCATGTCTATGAGTCATAAGTTCTTTAGCTTCTACATTTTTCATACTATTCTTGCCCTCCCCCTATTTTCTACCTACCATCTATGATACTTATTCTATCCTCTCTCCCCCTCCCATTTCCCTGTTTCTAACCCTCTGTGTGACCTCCATTTCTATGGTTCTGCTCCTGATCTAGCTGTCCTTTTAGTTTGCTTTTGTTTTAGTTGTGGTTGTTAATAACTGTGAGTTTGCTGTCCTTTCACTGTTCACATTTTTATCTTCTTTTTCTTAGATAAGTCCCTTTAACATTTCATATAATAAGGACTTGGTGATGATGAACTCCTTGAACTTGACCTTATCTGAGAAGCACTTGATAAAGTGCTTCCATTCTAAATTAAAGCTTTGCTGGATAGAGCAATCTTGGATGTAGGTCCTTGCCTTTCATGACTTGGAATACTTCTTTCCAGCCCCTTCTTGCCTGCAAGGTCTCTTTTGAGAAATCAGCTGACAGTCTGATGGGAAGTCCTTCGTAGTCCCCTTATCTCTTGCTGCTTCTAGAATTCTCTCCTTCATTTTAATCTTGGCTAATATAATGATGATGTGCCTTGGTGTTTTCCTTCTTGGGTCCAACTTCTTTGGGACTCACTGAGCTTCCTGGACTTCCTGAAAGTCTATTTCCTTTGACAGAGTGGGGAAGTTCTCCTTTATTATTTGTTCAAATAAGTTTTCCATTTGTTGCTGTTCCTGTTCCCCTTCTGGTACCCCTATAATTCGGATGTTAGAGCATTTAAAGATGTCCTGGAGGTTCCTAAGAGTCTCCTAATTTTTTTTGAATTCTTGTTTCTTCATTCTTTTTTGTTTGGTTGTTTCTTTCTTCCTTCTGGTCCACTGCATTGATTTTAGTCCCAGTTTCCTTTCCATTACTATTGGTTTCCTGTGCATTTCCCTTCATTTCACCTAGTATAGCCTTCATTTTTTCATCTAATTTGCATCTAAAATCAACCACTTCTGTGAGCATCCTGATCACCAGTGTTTTGAACTGTGTGTCCGCTAGGCTGGCTATTTCTTGGTTGCTTAGAAGTATTGACTCTGGGGCTTTGAGTTGTTCTTCTGCTTGAGCAATAATGTTTTGGTATGCTTGTGCCTGTTACATATGAGGGGTGAAAGCTTAGGTGTTCACTGGGGCAGGTCAATCTAGTAGCTGGGTTATGACTGGTGGGGGGTCAGAAAAGGAGAAATGGCATTTGTTCCACTCTCTCTTGGATTTTGGTCCCCTCTGCTGCTTCCCACAAGCAAATTGGGCCCTTCTTGTGCTGGTTCCTGGGTGAGTGGGCTTGTGTGTGTTCTAGGACCCTGTGGGTCTCCAACAAACTCCCCTGTGAGGCTGGGAGCCTATCCTGGCATCTCAACCCCCGAAAGTTTTTCCAGTGCTACTAGGCTTTATTTCCTCACAGTGGGGCCCTGTGTTGTGTGGTCTGTCTCACTGCCCATTTTTTCACCTGGTTTATCTGCATGTGAATGTGTGACCACGGTCAGTCAGCCACCTTGCGCCCTCACTGGGTCTTCCCATTGCCACCCACGCCTGGTATCTGTCAACCTCCACCTGCATGCCTGGGTTGGTCTGGCAGCCACCACTTTTCTCTGCCGTGACCCCTCTCTGCCAGCCACTGACTACGTCCCCCTTACCGGTCTGGCTGAATGGTTCATTGTTGCTGGACTTCTGTACTGTTCAGTTTTTCATCTGTTTTGGTTGTGTTTTTGTTTGTAAATCTTTGTTGTCCTTAAATTTGGTTGTGCAAGGAGGTACAGAGTTTCCACCTATGCCTCCATCTTGGCCGGAAGTCTACATTCTTTTTTCTTGTTGGATATGTCTCCCTGAGCAAGAGAAACCAAAAAAAAAAAAAAGGAAGGAAAGAAATGGGATTACATCAAACTTAAAAGTTTTTACACAGAAATGAAAACCTTCAGTAAAATGAAAAGACAACCTAATGAATGTGAAAATATATTTGCCAATGATAATTTATAATGGATTAATATCCAAGGAATATAAAGAACTCTTACAACTGAACATTTAAAAAAAAGATTAAAAATGGACAAAGGACCTTTTATAGGACCTTTAGACATTTCTTCAAAAACAACATACACATGGCCAACAGACATATGAAAAGTTGTTCAGTGTCATTAATCATTAAAACCACAATGAGATCTCACACCACACCTGTCAGAACTGCTATCAAGAATAAGTCAACAATGAAAAGTGTATTTAATAAAACAAAGTAAAAGCTCAAAATTACTTCTAGCTTGGCTTTGAGATACGCAATTGCAATGTTTTGTTCCTCTACTGGTTCATCTTTTGTAGCATAGCAAAACTTGTAAGGAGAAGGGAATCATGACATATAGGCCTTTCTTAGAAGCCAAACTAAAAATATGAACACATTCTTTATTACTAGTGCAAACAATAATAAAAGGGAGCCAGGTTAAAATGGAGCTAGAGCTGCCATACCAGAGGAACTGCCTTGTAAGTCTTAGACCTCAAATCTTGGAATGTTAAAACAGGGCAAAATAACCTCTGGACTGGGCACAGGAAACATTGTGTCCCAG